AGTCAGTGTTGCCAGCGCTCAATGTTGCCTCATGCATGCCCTTAGAATCAGGGACCCTGCCTGCACTGTGCTGAAACAGAGACCCCCCTGGAGCGTGTTGAAAATCAGCGCCCCCTAGCGTGTTCCAGGAGTCAGAGTTCCCCAAGAATCCAGTATCAGAGTCTCTGTTGCTTCACGCGACCTTGCATTGAGAATCAGGGTCCCTGTGTGCCATTGCACTAAGAATTGGGGTTACTGGCTCTTAGTATGAATGCACAGGGAGTCAGGGATCTCAGGCGCAGGTGATAAGAAACACAGTCAAGTCACTGGTGTTTGGTTCTGCCTTCTGCGCAGAGAATCGGGGACCCTGGGCCTGCGCTACCTGGGACAAATTCCCGGTGTTCGCACAATTGCATCCAGCCCAGGGCTCCTGGAGCAGGCAGTGCGCGCAGGACCAGTTCCCGGTGTTCGCGCGTTTGCTCCCAGCCCAGGACTCCTGAAGTAGGCACTACGCGGGACCAGTTCCAAGGTGCTCCTGCACTTCCAGGCTAAAGTTCCGGTGGCAGCACTGAGGCCCGGGCAAGGGGTGGGTTTATCAGTTTACTATGGTGCTGCCCCCACCCCTGCAGGAAGGGGGATGGGCTCTGTTACGGATCTGCTGAGGGGATTTCTGAACTTTTGGTGTCCACAGGTCTGTAGCTGTGGTCACAGGTCTCTGTCCCCAGTGGCTGCAGGGTCCTGGTATGTGTCTGAGATCAGACTGGGTGGTGCTGAGGCCAGGATCCTAGTCTCAAGCAGCTCTCTTTTCCAAGATGGCATGGTCGCTGTGCCCGTGCTGGCCTCCCAGCCCTTTTTTTGTTTTTTAAATTAAATCTTTATTGTTCAGATTATTACAGTTGTTCCTCTTTTTCCCCCCCATAGCTCCCCTCCACCCTTACCGCCCCCCCCCACTGTCCTCATCCATAGGTGCATGATTTTTGTTCAGTCTCTTACTGCATCCCCCACACCCCTCCCCCCCCCCAATAATAGTCCACTCCCTTTCTATGCCCCTGATTCTATTATAATCACCAGTTCATTCTGTTCATCAGATTTTTATTCACTTGATTTTTAGATTCACTTGTTGATAGATGCATATTTGTTGTTCATAGTTTGTATCTTTACCATTTTCTTCTTCTTCCTCTTCTTAAAGGATACCTTTCAGCATTTCATATAATACTGGTTTAGTGGTGATGAATTCCTTTAGCTTTTTCTTATCTGTGAAGCTCTTTATCTGACCTTCAATTCTGAATGATAGCTTTGCTGGATAAAGTAATCTTGGTTGTAGGTTCTTGGTATTCATCACTTTGAATATTTCTTGCCACTCCCTTCTGGCCTGCAAAGTTTCTGTTGAGAAATCAGCTGATAGTCGTATGGGTATTCCCTTGTAGGTAACTGAGTTTCTTTCTCTTGCTGCTTTTAAGATTCTCTCTTTGTCTTTTGCTCTTGGCACTTTAATTATGATGTGTCTTGGTGTGGTCCTCTTTGGATTCCTTTTGTTTGGAGTTCTCTGCGCTTCCTGGACTCGTAAGTCTATTTCTTTCACCAGGTAGGGGAATTTTTCTGTCATGATTTCTTCAAATATGTTTTCAATATCTTGCTCTCTCTCTTCTTCTGGCACCCCTATAATTCAGATGTTGGTACGCTTGAAGCTGTCCCAGAGGATCCTTACACTATCTTCGTATTTTTGGATTCTTTTTTTCATTTTGCTTTTCCAGTTGGGTGTTTTTTGCTTCTTCGTATTTCAAATCTTTGACTTGATTCTTGCAATCCTCTAGTCTGGTGTTGGGAGTCTGTATAATATTCTTTATTTCAGTCAGTGTATGCTTAATTTCTAGTTGGTCCTTTATCACAACCTAGAGCGTCTCATTAGATTTCTTGTAGATCTCATTAAGTTTATCAGCAGTTTCTAGGAAATTCTTGAAAAACCTTAAAAGTGTGGTTTTGAACTCTATGTCCAGTAGTTTGCTTTCCTCCATTTCTGTCATTTGTGTCCTTTTTCTTTGTCTCCGCATTTTTTATGCTTCCCTGTGTTGATAAAGTGGTTTTCTGTGCTGAGTATCCTCTAGGGCCCAGTGGTTCAGCCTCCCCAATTACCTGAGGAGGACACTCTTAGTGCACCCCCTTGTGGTCTTTGTGCACAGTCTTGTTGTAGTTAAGCCGTCATTGTTGTAGTTATCACTGGGAGGAATTGACCTCCAGACCAATTGGCAGTGAGAATCAGCTGTGTCTGCAGTGGGAGAACTTCTGTGCTGGAGACACCCCTCTGGGGCAAGACTTGCTTCAATGGGGCTTTGGTGCTCACTGAGTCTGCCCCCTGAGTGTGTCCTTTATGGTTCCACGGAGCTGCAAACTGGATGGTCCCTCTCTGACCTCTGGGTTTTCTGGCTCCTGGATCTCTAGGGAGGTGCTAATCTAGCCTTTGCCTGAGGCTATCCAGCAAAAGCCTCTGTGCAGGGCTTGGGCGGGGTGGGGTCCCAGGGGATCAACAGGGCGGAGAGGGCAGTTATGGCTGCTCAGTCCTGCCCTCATAGGCCCTGCTTCTCAGTGTCCTGGCAATCGCTGAAAGCACCCCTGAGAGAAAGCTGCCCTCAAGTTCCGACCAATGCCAGACAGCTCAGTTTCTCCCGTGTGAGTCTGGGTCCCCAGAGACTCGCCTGGAACTGGAGCTCAGAGCTTGAGATTCCCTCCTGATTGAAAAAGACAACCGTGTCCTCAGCCGCCAGCCCGCTCTGCATGCGCCTCTGTACCTCTGTATTTTACTTCTGCACCGCACCTCCTCTGAGCCTCGGTATGCTTTTCTCTTTCCTTCTAGTTGTAGAATTTCCACTCAGCCAGCCTTCCTGCTGTTCTGAATGATGTCCGTTGTCTTTTAGTTGTATTTTTGAAGTGGTTGTTCGAGGCAGCAAACTCCAGTGTTTACCTATGCTGCCATCTTTTTTTCTCTGTAAATCCTTATTGATAAGATAGTCTGTTACTGGAACTTGCCTGCTTAAGGGCTATGGGTGTATCCCAAACCAATAAAAGGTTGGCGAGGCCTGAGCACCAGTGGAAGTCCTTCTCCTTGAGTTGGACTTACCCGTCTGGCCCCCCAGTATTTCCAAATTATCTCGTCTCTTCTCTTTCGTGTGCGGCCCCTCTTCCAGATCCTGAACCCTGAACCACGCGGGACGTGGGGGGAAACATTTACAACAGCTGCTGGCCAGACTGGAGAGAGAGGCAAGTGCTGATCAAAAGTTGCCACAGAGCAACCGTCAGTCCCTGCTTCTCTCTTCAGGCCTCTCTCTGGCCCTGATTTGCAGCCCCCTCAACAGTCAGTGCTGGGGCACTGTGTCTGCAGCAGAAAGCAGTCAGCAACTGGGTTGCTATGGCAACCCAGCAGCACTGCCTACAGGACTGACTTCTGGTTGGTTGAGCCTCGGTAGTGACTGGTTATGACCCATCCTATATATTAGGATGTTTGGCCTGGATGGTTTTGTTCAGTGGTTGAGTGTCGACCTATGAACCAGGAGATCAAGGTTCTATTCCCAGTCAGGGTACATGCCTGGGTTGTGGGCTTGATCTCGATCCCCAGTAGGGGGTGTGCAGGAGGAAGCTGATCAATGATTATCATTGATATTTCTGTATTTCCCTCTCTGAAATGAATAATACAGTGGTGCCTTGACTTATGAGTGTCCCGACTAACGAGTTTTTTGAGATACCAGCTGTCTCTCGGCCGATTTTTTGCATTGAGTTGACAGAGTAATTTGAGTTAACGAGTTCCTTAATGAGCTCAGCCTCAGAACGAATTAATCTCGTAAGTCAAGGCCCCACTGTATATAAAAAAAGTTCATCATTCTGTGAATTTTTATATTGTAATGTGTATATATATGTATTTTAAAATAATCGTATTCTTAAGAATATTCCCACGGATGAAGAATTTAGTATGGTACACGTGTTATTTTGCTAAAGAATTTATATTTAAAAAAATGTATTTTTATTGCTTTCAGAGAGGAAGAAGAGGTAGAAACATCAATGATGAGAATCATTGATTGGCTGCCTTCTGCATGCCCTCTACTGGAGATTGAACCTGCAACCGGGCATGTGCCCTTGATTGGAATCAAACCCCACAGGCTGAGGCTCTATCTACTGAGCCAAACCCACTAGGGCTGCTAAAGAATTTCTAAATGAATTTCACATACAATGAAAATGGCAACAAAATTAAAACTGAGTAAAACAGATGAGTAAATCTACAACTCCAGAATCAGTCTCATTTAGAAAGTACCTATGCTAATAAAGCCTTAGGAATAGACATTCTGGATGCTCTTTAAAGTCCCAGTAGCATTTCCATAACATCCATATTTAACCAAAGTAAACACAACTTAAGTACTGATTGCATGGCCCTGAGGCACTTAATCTAGAACTCAACCAAAGTGTTGTTTGCTAGAGGAAAAGTTGGCTTGTACATTTTCTGTGATACCCACACCAGAACTTTATTTAGTTGTTAAGATGCAACTTGAAGTAAAATTAGTTTGTACTGTTCTAGTAGAAGCCCTGTTTGTTCTTTCCCTAAGTATCTAACATTTACACATACTCTCCACATACAGACACTGTAATCACTACCAGGAAGATTATCATCCAAAACCCATCGTCAAAAAATGAGAAGAGCAACATAGCCTTCTCTCTTAATCTGCATGCAACTTATTGTAGTGCTTCTGCTAAAACATTACCCTAAACTAAATTATAATTTTGAAAAGCTCCATAGCAGGTACCAGGCAACACAAGCCTGTATCTCTCCGCTCCAACCCATTCTCCCCCCCACCCCCCACGGTGAAATTATCAACTACATTGCAGGATAGTAATTAATCTCATTTCACAATTAAGAAATTCAAAGTAAAAGATACAGGTCTCCTCAGCTGCAAATGAAACCCAAACTCATGACTAGACTCATAGCCAATACCTCTCATTCACTGCTGAAGAATTTAAGCAAATAAATAGGACAAACATTTTTTCTAACAAAACCACTTTTATTTTTTTAATCATTTACTACTAAATACAGAACAAAACTTAAGTGTGGAGGCAGTCAGTATTCACTTGGTTTCAACTGATCGTGTTAAAGGCTTGTGTCCTGTGCAACCTTACCACTGTGCATAAAATGTTCACTGAAAAATAACCTAGGTACGGGTTCCCGTCACTGCATTTTACATCAGTGACACTATTTTACAGCCCAAAACTTAATCCCTTTTGAAAAGTTATGTATATTTGTATTCAGAGATTACAAGTGAGGAAACAGACTAATACTAGGTTTAACCAGGTGAAACTGCCAACATTTTACTTGTTTTGATTTACAAAAATGGCAGTCATATGGTTCAACCATCACCTACTAAGAAAGTTTTTGTAGGTTTAAGTAAATGTCACTTCTGTTCAACAGTTTTAAAATGACTATTAGGGCCATTACTAGAACTTTGTAACTATAGACAAAATTCCTTTGGATAAAATCTTTAAAAAGTTACTTACTATAAACTGTAAAAACAATGCTGCTTTCTATATGGCATTTCAATTTTAAAAGTTAAAAAAATTATCAGACTTGGATAAGAGTTATACTTCCAAGTCTCATTTCCCCCTTAAACCCAGCCACTCTACACTACTCATTTCATAAATGAATAAATATTTAGTATTGTACATTAGATACATACCATTGAATTGCTATACTATTCCAGCAAAGGCAAATATTTCATTGAAAATATAAATTTAGTAGATATAGGTGGGATCATTTATCCTACAGTTACTTTACTCAACCCAATTCCTACACCCAAAATATGAGAAATTTATACTAAGAAATAGATTGTTTTAGAAATTAAAGCAACTTTGATCATTCTGATGGTAACTAATCACTACAGTGATGGATTGTATAGTAAATATGTAGATTGTAGGGGAAAGGACTTGATTTGTAAAATGAATGAGGTAAATGTCATACATTCAACAGCTTGTAAATAAATACAAATACGGTTTTACAGGAACATGAACATAGGTTTAAGGGTTTTATTATCAAAGACTTGTAAAACAATTTCAGAAACTGTACATCAACATGGCACAGACTGTAGCCTACTTTTGTTTTTACTGCACAAAAGTGAAGCTGGAAACTCCTGTAACTAAGAAAACAGTTGCCTAAACTACTTTGCATTTAACATGGAATCACCGTGGGCATAAGATTACTACTGCAGTAACAGTAACACAAATTTATTGGTTTTATACAACTTGAGATCAAATAAAAAGTACATTATCAAGTACATTTGTCTCACTTTAAAAGCATATGGTCAATTTAAAATGCACTACCCCCTTTTTCCAACATTGATATTAAAACAAATTAATAAAAGTGAAAAATTGAAAATTAGGACAAGAAATAAGTCTTTTACAGATGGACTCAGGATAGGCAGATAGCTTTCAATGATGTAGGTGTGAAATAAATTATTTCAGGGAAAAAAATTCCCAAACACCTTATGAAAAAGTATACAACTCTACTTCAAAATATGCTATTTACTCACTGCCAAAGACAGTTTTATTTCAAATTTTGTTTCTGTAATTAAAGCCTAAGCAGCCATCAAAAAAGGTTAGTGCATATATAACCTTTCAAAGTTAAACAAAAGCCACAAAATTTCAGCCACAAGGCTTAAAGGATTATCTATTTCAAATGCTTATTTCCAGATGTAACTATAAGAATGTTAACTTGTCATATCAACGAACAAGACCATAAGTAGATCCATCATGTTGGAGGATTTTAATGACATTGAGGATATTCCTGTCACAATTAACATGCAATCAGTGCATTCCCTACATGGCTCTATTACGGCAATGAATCAAATTCTAGAAATACTATAAGTGAACTTACTTAATAAAGGAGATTATACAACATAAACAATCCATGCCTGCTGTAGATGCATGCAGCTTTTCACTTCTGCTATGAAGCAGCACCAGAATAGTCAAGCTGCTTGGTTACTCAATCAGATTTCACCACATCAAGAATTGGTTACCAACATAGCATTTTCTAAAAACTTTTGGATGTAAATAATATCAATTACAGGAGCGTTATAACCATTTGTAGCTCAGAGCTGTATACATCTAAGGTTTGAGATGAACAAATACAGCATGAAGATATCACACAAAGGAATGACACTGATGCATGTATACAGGTGGATTCTCATGGAGGCCATATTCAGTCACTCATATCCATGTCTTCTTCATGATGATCATCACCATTCACTTTGGATTCTCTCAGGGGATCACCAGTTCCCTTTTCCACAGAACATTCTTTTGTTTTGGGGGAAACTGGTTCTGTTGGTTTCTTCTCCTCTTTTTTCTCTTTCTCGCTGTCATACCCCTGTTCCTCTTCATCATAATCCCGTGTAACCTGCTTTGCCAAGGAGAATAATAAAAGTAAACGTCTTCACAGAAAAATCACTTCTTATAAGTACTAGTACCACCTAAAATACCAAAATAAATTAGTATGTAAACATACTTTTACATCTTTATCACTCTCAGATTTTCTTTCCCGATCCTTTTCTTTATCTTTACTTTTCTTCTTCTTGCTTGTTGATCGTTCTCGTTCATCTCTGCCTCTTTCTTTGTCTTTATCTTTCTTCTTCTCCTTTTTATGCCTAGGATAACAGTAAAATGTTCTCAAAGAAAAAAAAGATGCTTTAAAGGATACGCTTGAGAATTTTAACCTGTAAGTATAGCAATAAGTTTTAACTTGTTTAGATGCTAAGCTTGACCCAAGTTCACATGATATAAAGAGGGTACAGGACCCTGGCCGGGTAGCTCAGTTGGTTAGACCACTGTTTTGATACACCACTAAAGTTGCAGGTTTGATCTCGTCAAGGCACAACAGGGGTGGGGAACCTTTTTTCTGCCAAGGACTATTTGGATATTTATAACATCAATTCCTGGGCCATACAAAATTATCAACCTAAAAATTAGCCTGCTGTATTTGGTCAAACATTTAATTAACTCACCCCTAATGCCTTGGCAAGGCCTGACCAAAATTTAGCAGGACCCGCGGTCTGGACGTTTCCCACCCCTGGACATACAAGAAGCAACCAATAAATACATAAATAAGTGGAATAACAAATTGATGTTTCTATCAAATTAATAAATAATAAAAAAAGACTAGCCCAGCCAGTTTGGCCCAGTGGTTGAGTGTCGAACTATGAACCAGGAGAGGTCAAGGTTTGATTCCTGGTCAGGGCATATGCCCGGGTTGCAGTCTCAATCCCCAGTGTGCAGTGTGCAGGAGACAGCCAATCAATGATTCTCTCGCCATCACTGATGTTTACATATATCTCTCTCTCCCTTATCTGAAATCAATGAAAATATATTTTAAATAATATATAGCAAATATCCATTTTCAAAACACTGGACACAAGCCATGCTCAATAATAGAAGAAAACTAATTTGGTTACAGGCATAAAATGCTCAATCCTCCACAGTGTTTATTAAAACAGTCTCAAATTGTAAGAGAAAAAAGCACATTCATAAGCATTTTAATGGAAAAAAAAGTTCTGAAAATTAGAAAGAGTACACCTAAATCATTAGCATTCTTACCTCCTAGGGGACGGTGAGCGAGACAATTTTCTTTTCGGAGACCTGGGCTTTTTAGGAGATCTTGTGCCACTCCTGCTTCGTCGACGTCGTCTCTCTCTAGGACCACAAATGTACAAACTAGACTTTAAAATACAGACACATCATAGCAGATATGTCTATGATGGAGCTCCATTAGGAACTCAGAGCATTTTCAAATACAGTTTTGAGCTGAAGAATCAAATGAGTAATAATAAACCACAATTCTTTTTCAAACCATGTCCCTTTCCTTTAATGCTCTCAAGAAAACCCTCATTTCCAGCAATTCTTAAAAAATTACATTATCATAACATCAGATTTGTTAAACTTGAGGAAAGATTAACAATCAGTTTTTGATTCATATATCAGTGTCCAGAAGAGGTATAGGATCGTATGTTGCAGATACTAGTAAAATAAAAAATTACTCTTAAATTCACTGGGTAAAACTTAGAGAACTAAAGTTAATGTTAATGTAGGATCAAATTGATTCCCTATACTCCAGCAAGCCATGTCCCCCAACACTGCTTTGAGCAATCATTGTTTTAAGAAATATAGCCCTTTCCCTCTCTTTAAAACAGGGTGCAGAACCTTTTTTCTGCCTAGTGCCACTTGGATATTTGTAACATCATTTTTGGGCTATACAAAATTATCAACTTAAAGATTAGCCTGCTGCTGCTGCCAAAGCCGGTTTGGCTCAGTGGATAGAGGGTCGGCCTGCGAACTGAAGGGTCCCGGGTTCGATTCCGGTCAAGGGCATGTACCTGGGTTGTGGGCACTTCCCCAGTGGGGGATGTGCAGGAGGCAGCCGATAGATGTTTCTCTCTCATCGATGTTTCTAACTCTCTATCTCTCTCCCTTTCTCTCTGTAAAAAATCAATAAAATATATTTTAAAAAACAAACAAACAAAAGATTAGTCTGCTGTCCTGGCTGGTGTGGCTCAGTTGGTTGAGCGTCAGCCATGCACCAAAAGGTTGCCAGTTTGATTGCTGGTTAGGGCACATGCACAGGTTGCAAGCTAAAACCCCGGTGGGTGGTGGTGGTGGGGAGGTTTGGTTGCAGGAGGCAGCCAATCAATGTTCTGCTCTCACATAGCTTTTCTCTCTCACTGCCCCTTCCTCTCTCTTGGTGAGATGTTCCCCACCTGTGGTTTAAAATGTGGCTTAAAAAAAATTCTGCTGGTTACTATTCTCAAAAACTATTAGGACTTGTAAGATTACAATTTAGGCACAAAATAAAAATAAAACCCCATTAATTTCAGTTGTCTAGCTTCCATAAAAGCTTTAGGAAAAAAACCCCCCACCAAAAACCAACCATACAAAAAATTACCTTTACAACCCTGTGTGGCACCTCCCCCCACAGTCCTGGAAACATTACACACAACTTTTCATTCATCAAATATTATCAAGGTGATCCAATAATTAAGCAGTGTAAAGTGCTTATGAATAAGTATATTAAATAAAGGAACAGGCAAAAACAACAACAAAAAGAAAAAATAAAAGGAAAAAAATAAAGAGCCACTAGTTAGCAAGGTAAGAAAAATAAATGCTGCACACCCCACCTTTCCCTAAGACCTAGTTTGTCATTTTCTTAAATACTTACACATGGTTTCATTTTCTGTTTTAAATAGTTGCCTCTCCGTATCTGCAGGTTTTACATCTATGGATGCCAGAGGGTTAACTGTATGCATTATTCTATGCCATTTCATAAAAGGTGTGCCCCCAAATGTATACACATATTTTGAATAATTATAAAGGCAGTGTTTATAAAATACATTTCATTTTCAAAATTGAGGCATCAGCAGTTAAACTGTGCATACATCTTTTGGGGACACCCTGTAAAAGGGACTTGAGCTTCTTGGATTTTGCTTCCTGCAGGGGGTTCTAATATAATTTACTTTTTCTGAAAATATTCCTCACCCTGAGAAGAAACCCCATAATAAATTACCTTTAGGTATCACACCCCAACCATCAATCTACTTTTTGTCTTTATAGATTTATCTATTCTGGACACCTGTCAATGGAATCCTACAATTTATGGTTCTTTGTGACTCACTACTTTCATCTAAGTTGCCAAGGCTCATCCACCTGGTAACATTTATCAGTACTTTATTCCTTTTCATTGCTGGATAATTCATTGTGTAGCTATACCATTTTATTCACACACGTTAGTTAATGAACATCTGGGCTGACTTTTTGGTTATTATGAGTAATAACACTGCTATGAAAATTAGTGTACACAGTTTTGTGTGTAACATTTTCATTTCTTTTGGGTATATCCTTAGAAGTGAAAATACTGTGTCAAAACTCTTAATTTTTTAAAGGAATTACCAACCGTTTTCCAAAGCAGTTGCACCATTTTATATTAATGCCAAAAACATACAGAGTCCCAGGTTCTCCACATACTTGCCAACACTAGTTACCATCTGTCTTTTTTAATAATAACCATCCTAGTGTCTGTGTTTTTTGTTTGTTTTTTTAAATATATTTTATTGATTTTTTATAGCGAGGAAGGGAGAGGGATAGAAAATTAGAAACATCGATGAGAGAGGAACATTGATCAGCCGCCTCTTGCACACCCCCCACTGGGGATATGCCCGCAACCAAGGTACATGCCCTTGACTGGAATCGAACCCGGGACCCTTCAGTCCGCAGGCTGACGCTCTATCCACTGAGCCAAACTGGTCAGGGCAGTGTCTGTGGTTTTGATTTGCATTTCCCTGATGACGAATGTATATCTTTTCATGTTTATCAGACACTTGCATATATTCTTTGGAGAACTGTCAATTCAGATTCTTTGGCAATTTTTTTATTTAGGTTGTCTTACTATAATTGAGTTGTAACAGTTCTTTGTATATTCTAGATACAAGTCCCTTTTTGAATATATAATCTGTTACTTTCTAGCACTCTGGGTTGTCTTTAAGTTCTTGACAGTATTCTTTGAAACAAACGTTTTTAATTTTGATGACCTCCAAAATTTATATTTATCTTTTGTTATTTATGCTTTTGATGTCATATCTAGAAAACCATTGCCAAATTCAAGGTCATGAAGATTTACTTCCATTTTAGGTTTTACATTTAGGTCATGCATCCATGTTGAATTAATTTTTGTACATAGAGTGACCCTCCTAAGCATTTAATAATCAATGTAAGAAAATAATCACTACAGCAAAATGTGTAAACTAGATTGGAAGAAAATGGAGTTACTAAGTATGACCAGCCCTTACTAATCCTCTAATAAAATCCTAATATGCAAATCAACCAAACAGCAGAACAACCAGTCGCTATGATGTGCACTGACCACCAGGGGGCAGACACTCAACGCAGGAGCTGTCCCCGACTGGGGGCAGCTCCTGCGTTGAGCATCTGCACCCAAAAGGGAGGCAACCAGCGGTGGGGACCCTGATCGCCAGCCAGGCCTACAGACTCTACCCTATATATTGGGAAGAGTCTCTTAGATTTAAAAATTAAAACCTGACAAGGCTACTCTAACACTGAAAAAACAGGATGATGCAGTGATGACATTCAAGGACTTTGGCTTGCACATTTTGTAGTCAGCCCTGATTCTGACACTTGTAACAACTATGTGACAAAGCCAATTAGTTAACTTCTCTCTGCTTCAGTTTTTCCACCCATAAGATGGGGAAAATGGTACTACTGCCTCAGAAGGATCATGTTAAGTACTACTTTTTATAATCAGGGCAAAAAAATGTAGCTGCCCATACAACAGCAAGATGCCTTTCACCTGTATGAAAAGTATGGTCACTGGTGCATGTAGCGTACTGGATTGCGAGTCATGTCTGACTGCCCTGAGGGCACAGGCCAGGTTTAGGGACCCTCCCCTGGCTGTGCACGAATTTCGGGCACTGGGCCTCTAGTTTCATAAATATCAATGTTTATATACCATTGCGAAAAACACATTCCTGTGGAGTAAAGTTAGCAACATTTAATTTTCACACTATGGCAGAATTACAAGTCTAAGAATGACACAAATTAGAACTTGACTACTTGCTATTATTTTATCAACAAAACCCTATATATAGGGGGAAAAACTCTTGACTATTAATGTGGACATATAAAGCATGACTTATTATGTAATAAAAATAAGTTTCATGTAATAATTCAAATCAGGATACAAAATGCATGTAGCAAACTAGAAAATGACCTCTGTTAAACTCCCTATTACGTCAAATTTACTCTACACAGGCATTCGCCAACCAGTGGTCCACAGACCACTGGTGGTCCACATGGTCCAAAAGGTTGGCAACCGATGCTCTACACTAAGCATGTCAAACTCACCACAAATTTGACATGCTTGCTCTACACCATAAAAAGTAAGTAAAAAGAAAAGAACTTTAGGTTATTCTTCACAAGTTGCCTCTAAAATTTGTTAATACTGAAGTATGTACAGAGGTGGGCAAAAGAAGTTTTACAGTTCATATGGAAAACAATACAATAAGTAATAATATGAGAATAAATTTTTCTGTACTCACAACTGTAAACCTACTTTTGCCCACTCCTGTACGTACTAGAAAACACACAATGCTCACAATCTATTGACATCCTTGCAAATAGTTTTAAGAAATGCCAAGAATTTATAATGACTTACCTGCTTGCACTTCTGGACCGTCTGGCTGTGCTATAACTTTTTGGTGGTGTTTTGGAACGTTTCTTTTCTTTGTCTTCTTTCTTTTTGTCTCTAATAAATGAACATAATTTATGAATGCATTAATAAGTTTCACCTAATAAAAACTTATACAGTACATCAAATAAACACAAAAGCACAGTGAGATCTAATTCAATTCTTAAAATAAAATGAGCATTATTCTGATACTAAATATAGAAATATAATTCGAATGGTATTACTTGTGATTAAAATTTTTTTTTTTTAATATATTTTATTGATTTTTTACAGAGAGAAAGGGAGAGAGATAGAGAGTTAGAAACATCGATGAGAGAGAAACATCGATCAGCTGCCTCCTGCACATCTCCTACTGGGGATGTGCCTGCAACCCAGGTACATGCCCTTGACCGGAATCGAACCTGGGACCTCTCAGTCCGCAGGCCGACGCTCTATCCACTGAGCCAAACCGGTTTCGGCTGATTAAAAATTTTTAAGAAAAAAAATCCTACTTTTCTAGTATTCTACAGAAAACTTCTCTCCAATAGAGAGCATAGACTATAGAGAGAAAATGATAAAGGATGTTGGCCAGTTTCTTGATTGACTGGTAAAAAAACCAATCCTATCTAATAAAAGAGAAACATGGTAATTAGCGTACGTCTACTACCCTTCCCATTGGCTAATCAGCAAGATATGCAAATTAACTGCCAGCCAAGATGGTGGCCGGCAGCCAGGCAGCTTGAAGCGAACATGAGGCTTGCTTGCTTCAGTGACGGAGGAAACCAACGTTCCCCGCCTGCCTTGCCGGCCTCTGAGCTTGCAGTTTGAAACATTGTTACAAATATAGAAGCTAAACAAAACCCCAGAAACCTGCTTTCAGCCCGCGGGGATCTCAGAGCTGGAGTTGAAATAGTGTTTCGATTATAGAACACAAAAAAACCCAGATACCTGCTTTTAGCAACAGAGGCCTCAGAGCTGGAGCCAAAGCTAAAGCTGGCCCAGAATAAAAAAGAAAAAGAAAAAAAGGAGCAGTTGGGAGCTTTAGTCACCCGCCAGCCTGAAAACAGCCCTCAGCCCCTCACCCAGACTGGCCAGGCACCCCAGTGGGGTCCCCCACCGTGATCCAGGACACCTTTCAGGGCAAACCAGCCGGCCCCCACCCGTGCACCAGGCCTCTATCCTATATAGTAAAAGGGTAATATGCCTCCCAGCACTGGGATCAGTGGAGCCGCGAGGCCTCCTGGCACCGGGATCAGCGTGACAGGGGGCAGTGCCCAAACCCCCTGTTCGCCCTGCGGCTCTGTGTGTGACAGGGGGCGGGGCCACAACCTCCCTATCCGCCCTGCTCTGTTGGTGACAGGGGGGAGCTCCCCAACTCCCTGATCGCCCTGCGGCTCTGTGTGTGACAGGGTGCGGCGCCCCAACCTCCCCCATGGGCCCTGCTCTGTGTGTGACGGGGTAGAGCCATAACCTCCCCATCAGCCCTGCCCTGAGTGTGAGAGTGGCGGAGCCCCAACCCCCTGATCCGCCCTGCTCTGTGCATGACAGGGGGGAGCTCCCCAACCCCCTGATGGGCCCTGCTCTGTGCGTAACAGGGTACGGAGCCCCAACACCCCTCCTGGGCCCTGACCTGTGCGTGACGGGGTAGCGCCCCAACCTTCTGATTGACCCTGCTCTGTGCGTGACAGGGCGTGGCGCCGCAACCTCCCCATCGACCCTGCCTTGAGTGTGACAGGGGGCGGTGCCCCAACCCCCCAATCGGCCCTACCCTGATCGTGACTGAGAGTGGCATTGCAACCTCCCGATCTGCCCTGCTCTGTGCATGACAGGGGGCAGCGCCCCAACTCCCCAATCAGCCCTGCTCTGAGCCCAACCAGGGGCTGCACCTACGGACTGGGCCTGCCCTCTGTCCCCCTCGAGCAGGTCTAAGCCAGCAGGTCATTATCTCCTGAGGGGTCCCAGACTGCGAGAGGGCATAGGCCGGGCTGAGGGACCCCCACCCCCCTGAGTGCACAAATTTTTGTGTACAGGGCCTCTAGTAGTTTTAATAATTGTCTCTAGGCTCTTCAATAGTCATTTTTCTCTCAAGTGATTTGTTTTCCAACCCACCATTGCTCTATGTCTTCTGTCAGGCCAAAACCCATTATAATGCACTATCAAAATTAATTATTAGTATTCTTCCAAAGCACACACTCATGTTAACCTCTTTGATGGACTTAGCCGACTTTCTACCTTTGTTTCTGCTGCTAACTATTCTGGGCTACTTGGTGCTACTAGAAAAAATATCACATCATAATCAACTGGTACTGTAACCTTATCAATTCTAAGTCTTTTTACAGATTGTTATGAATTGACTTTTATTCCCCTCAGCATGTTGTTTTTTTTAAAAAAATATATATTTTATTGATTTTTTACAGAGAGGGAGAGGGATAGTTAGAAACATCGATTAGCTCCCTCCTACACACCTCCTACTGGGGATGTGCCCGCAACCAAGGTACATGCCCTTGACTGGAATCAAACCTGGGACCTTTCAGTCCACAAGCTGATGCTCTATCTACTAAGCCAAAGCGGTTAGGGCTCAGCATGTTTTTTAAAGGAAGTTATTATTTCTTTATAACAGTTTCTCTATTACTTGTGCTCAGTCTTCTCCTTCTAGTATCCCTATGATACAAATGTTGTTTTGTTTCATGGTGTCCCAAAGTTCCCTTAAACTATCCTCCTGATCTTCAATTTTTCCTTTTGCTGCTCTAATTGTTTTTTTTCCTACCTTGTATTTCAAGTCACCGATTCTATCTTCTGCCCCACTTAATCTACTTTTGATTCCTTCTAATGTATTTTTTATGTCAGATATTAATCTTCATTTCCAACTGATTCTTTTTTTAAAATATATTTTATTGATTTTCTACAGAGAGGAAGGGAGAGGGATAGAGAGTTAGAAACATCGATCAGCTGCCTCCTGCACACCCACTACTGGGTATGTGCCTGCAACTAAGGTACATGCCCTTGATAGGAATCGAACCTGGGACCCTTGAGTCCAGAGGCCGACGCTCTACTGAGCCAAACTGGTTAGGGCCCAACTGATTCTCATTTATGGTTTCTATTTCCTGTTTCATGCTGTTGTAGTTCTAAGTTTCTGAAAATCCGCACAAAGTTCCTTGATCATCTTTCGAACCATTACTTTGAACTCTGTACCTGACAAATTGCTTGCCTCCTTTTCACTTAGCCTTCTTTCTGGAGCTTCCCCCTTTTATTTGTGTGTTGTTTGTCTCCCCATTTTTGCTGTCCCTTTGTATTTGTTTCTATGTATTAGATCAAATTGCTATGCCTTCCAGTCTTCATGGGATGGTCTTATGTAGTAAGTGTATTGTGCAGTCTCATTGGTGCAGTCTCTCAGACCTCTTGAATTGGGGGCGGGCGGGCTAGGAATGTCCCTTGTGTAATTTGTTATTTCCTATTGTAATTGGGTCTTGAATGTTGTTGTCCCATTCGTGGGAAGAATCTCCTTTCAGGATGGGTGAATGTGAGGCCACCCCCATACACATTGTGTTGTGCAGGTGTGCATCTGATCACAAACGGTCTTGGACAACAGCTCTCCCACCAGGCAAAGGTCTTTGTTTCTAAGCTAACAGCTTGCCTGAGATCAACTGAGAACACCTGTTCCCTGTGAGGAGATTTGCTATAGAAATACTCCCCCCCACCCCCGCTTTGGATCACCATTTTCCCCAAGACTATGGACAACGGGATCAATACTGTATTTGTTGAATGAGAAATCCCTTATATCCATAAACATACATATACATTCATCCTTAACTATTCCACAATTTTAGAGATTAAAGTGTCTCTTGTTGCTCTAAGCCGATTCTCCCATCCCTTCCTTCCTTGGTCACCCTGTTCCATCAGTCACCCCTTCTCTTCATTCAAGTCATTTTATTTTGTTAATCCTCACCGAAGGATATTTTTCCATTAGTTTTTAGAGAGTGGAAGGGAGGTGGGAAGACAGAAAGAGAGAGAAACATAGATGTGAGTCACAATGTTTGGTTGCCTCTCACACATGCCCTGACCAGGGCCAGCTATCAAACCTGCAACTGAGGTATGTGCCCTTGACTGGAATTGGACCCAGAATCCTTCAGGGCATATGTGGGAGGAAGCTTGTTTGTTTGACTGAATTAAGAGATGACCCACCTTGTAAAACACAACTAAAAGCCTTGTTACAGTCTCAAACAGTCAGCAAAACTATCCCAGAATTTTATGTTCCCAGTTGTTATATGTTTGCCAAGAATAAATGTTGTTGGTCCCCTTCTGTCCTTTTTAAAAATTACATAATTAAATGAATAGGTAAAGTAGTATAAAGAACTGCTTCTAAAAAAATGAGGCAAATATTTTAGAAAGAGATAAAGGACAGTTGCTAAAAGAAGTATTGTGAAACAAAGTGTGACAACTCTACATAGGAAAAAAAAACTAGGTATTTTTCAAGTGACAGAATTCTCTTGCCACTTTAAAGGTGGTTCAGAAGAAAACAATGATTTGGTAAATGTTACTCAAGGCTATCATGCTAATTTAAAGTTTCACTTTAAATGAAAAAGACTGATTATTGAACACATATTTAAGTCAAAATGTTTGCCTTTGATTGACAAATTATATATTTTTATTGATTTCAGAGAGATAGGGAGAGGGAAAGATAGAAACATCAATGATGAGAGAACCATCCATCAGCTGCCTCCTGCAACCACCCCACCGGGGATCAAACATGCAGCCTGAGGAGTCCAATTTCGTGGTTCATAGATCAACACTGAATCACTGAGCCATACCAGCAGGCAATATATTTGCTTTTTAATAAATCCTCACTTCAATTCTCTACTGGTCCCAAATCATGGGATAAGAGACTCTAAAATATGGCATATAGTCAATTTTAATATGTAACATATATTTATTGATTTCAGAGAGGAAGAGAAAAGGAGAGATAGAAACATCAATGATGACAGAGAATCATTTCTTGGCTGCGTCCTGCACCCCCCTACTGTGGATGAGCCCCCAACCCCGAATGTGTTCTGACCAGGAGTCAAACCCTGACCTCCTTGGTTCATAGGTCAATGCTCAGCCACTGAGTCACAGCAGCCAGGCATTAATAAATATTTTTAAGTATTGATGATGAAATGTGTAAAGATGAATTAAAACATGGTTGTCATAAACTCCTTGGCATATCACAAGGGATGGCTGGTAGCACTAAATCCTTAGTGGTGGTAATAAAGGAAAGTAGTAGGATAGCTAAGAATTTCTACTACACAGAAATCTTACCTGGATCTTCAGCTATAAATAGAAATCTGAAGTTTATAAAGGAAACAAGAAAAACAAATGCTAGACTCATCAAACTTTAGTTTCTTCCCCCTCTATTGGTATTTCCCAATACCATCGCTTTTGTCTTTAAGTAGCACAGTATTTGGGGTCTTGAGAACTCTAAATTTTGTCTTCCCACCCAATGTTAACCGTCCACTATACCTGTTTTTGGATGTGCTCCTTGACCTTCTACCTCTCTCTCTGGAATGAGATCTTCTCCGTCTGGGACTTTTGGATCGTCGCCTACTCCTTGACTTAGAATGTGACCTCCTTCTAGATCTGCTTCTTGACCGCCTAATGAAAGAAAGCCAATACATGTACTTAAATAGGAAAGGTTAGTTGTGTTTATGACTATATCACTTAGTATCAGATAAAAGACTTATAAGCTTCATTAAGTGGGGACAATTTACTACCAGTTGCTATCATTATTTAGTCCATATAATAAACATTTTTATTACCCTAGAAATATGAATACCTTTTGTTGAAACTATCAAACTAGTCCTATGTCCATTGAAACTACAATAGCAAATGTAAAAATACTGCTAGAGCATGAAAAAAAAAGATCAAATTAAAAAAAACCCTGAATGATTTGCATTATCTTCCTCAGTATATAAGCACCTTAGCATGTTATTTATTGATTCCTCACTACTGCATGTTAAATCTATCAATTACCAAATATTCATATATGCTTACTACATGCTTTATAAATACTCATAATGAGCCTATAATGTAGGTATCATTACTCCCATCTTATAAATGAAACCACTTAGTGTTGCTTCTATAATTTCTAATTTTTGTTCTCTAAAATATATCCTACTTCTTTAATTTGCAATTTAAGAGCAATGAAGGCATTCCTTATACAGATTTATATAATTCAGTACAAACTGCCTTATTCTCACTACCATTCCTTCCTGTCATGTAAAAGAAATGTCTCTGTACCCTCTTCATTCCACTCCTCCCTCCAAACCTATAGTTTCTTTCTCTCCCAGAATTTAGGTAAAATTAACCCTTTTGATGTTGTCATCAATCCTCCTTCCTGTAGTTTACTCCCTTCTACATTAAGATTAAAAATAAACTGCAATATTTTGCTTAGACTTAAATCATTTAACTTTTAGTGACGATTCAACCTTTCTCTGAAAATTTTCAAATATATTCTAAACCTTTTGCCTTCACATTTTCAAGGTGCCAAAGGACGGACATTTTATAAATGGAAATTATCTCATTTATAAGCCAGCAAACAACTGAGTGCATTCATTAACTAACCTCTTTCAGCCTACTACTTTAGCAAAGAAAAATAGTAGCACTTCCATTACAGAACATTTGTAATTTAAAAGGAATTAAAAAACTCAGCACTCTGGCCTTAGTATAAGTATGTACATTAAATACTGACCCTCTTCTTCTTGCTTATGTATTAAGAAAATTTCTGTTGCCATCATTTTCTAAAATAGCTGTTTCAAAATTCCTACTTGGTGTTTCATCAAATCCAACGAATTTTTATTTTAATCATCTTATATTTGACCATATTATGCAACTATTTACTAAAACATTTCCCTCTTAAAAACATGTCTATATCCTAGAAAATTTTCATGTAATGCTTACCTTTTTGTAAGTTCCATAAGTACAGGAAGTGTGTATATCTTACTGACCACAAACCCTTGAGAAATTACTAGTTTGTCTGACTTAAATGAAAGGTATGAATATAGGGTGTCCCCCCCCAAAATGTATACACACACTTTGAATAATCGTAAAGATTTTTTTGGGGACACTGTATTTTGATTCTAATATAAAATATCAGATTCCTCACTTTCTTGAAAAAAAAAATTATTTTAAATATATTTTATTGATTTTTTTACAGAGTGGAAAGGAGAGGGAGAGTTAGGAACATCGATGAGAGAGAAACATCGAACAGCTGTCTCCTGCACACTCCCTACTGGGTATGTGCCTGCAACCAAGGTACATGCCCTTGATTGGAATTGAACCTGGGACCCTGGAGTCCGCAGGCCGACGCTCTATTCACTGAGCCAAACCGGTTAGGGCAAAAAATATATATATATATATTTTTTACCATTGACAGTATTACAGATGACCTCCATTTCCTCCCCATGTCTCTCCCCCTGCCCAGGCTTTCACCACACTATTGTGCGTCCATGGGCTGTGCATAACCTATCTAATAATAGACAAACATGGTAACTGACCATATCTTCGCTACGCCTCCCATGGGCTAATCACCATGATATGCAAATTAACCGCCAACAAAGATGGCAGCTAATTTGCATACTGCAGGCAGGGCGGGACAGCGCCATCCCGCCTGCCCTGCTGCCTTCCGGGCCTGCTATCTGCGACCTGACCCGGGGCGGCTGGGCAGGGCAGCAGCGATCGGCCAGCCCGCCTGGGCGTCCCATGTGCGACCAACGTGGGGCAGTAGCGATCGGCCAGCCCGCCTGGGTGTCCTGTATGTGACCCGACTAGGGCGACCCATGTGCGACCCGATCCGGGGTGGGGCAGGATTGGCCCTGCCGTGTGCAAGACCTGGGGAGTCGGTGCAGGCACCAAGGGTTCAGGCCTGCCATCTGCCACCCGGGAAGTGGGCCTAAGCCAGCAGGTGGTTATCTCCCGAGGAGTCTCAGACTGTGAGAGGGCACAAGTGGGGTTAAGGGACACCTCCCTCCCGCGCCAGCGCACAAATTTTTGTGCACCGGGCCTCCAGTAGTATATAAGTTCTTTGATTTATCTCTTTTCTGTCACACACCCTCTGATGTATGTCAGTATGTTCCATGTCTCCATGGCAGGGGACTTATTTTGTTGGTCAATTCATTTTGATTCTACAATCCTTTTAGCTAAGTTGAATCACATTTTTCCTGCTTTTGAATGTATATAGAAAAAATATAGATGCAGAAAAGAAAACCATATGACCATTCTTACACAGGATTTTTCCTAAACAAAGTGATTAATAATAGTTTTTAAAAAGCCAATAAACAGAAGTACCACATCAATCTATTTATTATAAGGTCCGGAAACAGTTATCTTTCAAGAATAATGTACAACAGAGCCATTTTAACACACTAGTTTATATGAGCTTTTAAAAATCACAAAAATAGAGACTTGTATATAATGTATCTAAGTAAAAAAGCTTATTGAAAGAAATGGCCAATTTTATATGCTAGGATGCTTAAGATATTAAAAGCTATAATAATTATCTGTTATGAAGTGTTATTGCAAGTGTCCAAAACACTTTGTTCAAGGAAATACATGCTTCACTGTTATTTCCCATTAATCATACATATCAAAGTAATTCAAACTAAATGTTGAGAGCCCTGGGATGTACTTGGTACTATATGTAAAAAACATAGGTTCTCCTTTTTAAGTGTTAAAACTAAGCTATAAGAGCACTGACCTGAAAGATAATGGAATTCTAAGTAGTATCAACATTGCATGTAAGAACAAAGAAAAAGGGGTCCCTCAAGGGGAAATGAAGGTATCAGAAAGAGCATTAGGTAGAAAGGAACATCAAGAGTAAAAACTTGAAAGCATAAAGAAAGTGATTATATTCAGGTAAGCAGTGCTTTGGTTAACTGTTTTGGAGTGGTAAATGATAAGTGTGAAAAGAAAAACTAGGTTGAATAGTAAAAAAACCCCTGAATGCCACTCTAAGGTTTAACACCTTCAGGCAATAAGGAACTACTCAAGGTTTAATAGGTTGTGATATAATTCTAATTTAGGTTTTTAATAGACATCTTTAGGAAGAATAAAACAGGGTGGGGGAAGATAGGTAAAAGGAAATCAGACAGTTATACCACATATTAATATTCTGCTACGGACTGAATGTTTGTGTCCCTCCCAAAATTCTTATGCAAAGCTTAATCTCCAATGTGATATTTTAATGTGGGGTCTTAGGGAGGTAATTAGGTCAAAAGGGTGCAGCTTTCATGATTAAGAGTAATGTCCTTTTTGAAAGAGATCTTAGAGACCCCTTGGCCCATTACAATACGAGGACATAGCAAAAAGATAGCACAGTATAAATAATAGGTCCTCATTAGACACCAAATTTGCTGGCACCTCAATGTTGGACTTCTCAGCTTCCAGACCAGTCACAAACAAATCTCTATTGGTTATAAGCCACCCAGTTTATAGTATTCTGAGTAGAGGAAGACACTGGATGAGAAATGACTTGATAATGTCATGGGGTCCATGAGGCCAAAATTATTTTCAAAATAGTAAGATTATTTGCCTTTTTTAACTGTGTTGACATTTGCACTAACTGTAAAAGTGCTGGCATCACCTTAGCACAAACAAAGGCAGTGGCAACTGAACTGCCCTAGTAGTCACTGTATTCTTCACAGGCATTTGTAGTAAGTACTAGCAGTAAAAGAAGAAATAAAAATGCCACTCCCCATATGGATGTGCACTGACCACCAGGGGACAGCTCCTGCATGGAGCGTCTGCCCCCTGGTGGACAGAGCATATCATAGCAACCGGCCATTCTACCGTTCAGTCAATTTACATATTAGCCTTTTATTATTATTACTAGAAGCCCGTTGCATGAAGATTCATGCAATAGGCCTTCCTTCCCCTGGCTGCTGGCATCGGTTTTCCTCCGGCATCTGGGACGCAGGCCTTTAGTCCCGCCACAGCGAGGCTTGGCTTCTCCACTGCAGCCACAGCGGAGAAACCAAGCCTCTTCAGTCTTCGCTCTGCGCCTGCATATGCAAATTAACTGCCATCTTTGTTTGGTTAATTTGCACAGTCACTATGATTGGCTGGTGGGCGTAGCAGAGTGACACCAATTTGCACGTTTCTCTTTTATTAGTGTAGATATAGAATGTCCCTATTTCCCCCCTTTTGTCCCCTCTACCCAGCTCTTGCCCCCCACTTCTCTCTGGCTATCACCATACTGTTGTCTGTGTCCATGGATTGTGCATATATTTTCTTTGGCTAATCCCTTCTTTAAATTTTTATTTTCAGATAAGTGTTAATAACTGCACTATTATATATTCTCTATTATATCATTTAGAATTAACATATTTTTAAATTGAACCCTTGTAAATTTTAGCACAATTTAATAAATTATGCTAGAAGCAATTAGGAGATTTTTCATGTAATGCAGATACATTTCAATTAATATTTTATTAAATTTTAATATTTTAATTTGAAATAATCTCATACATGTAAAAAAAACCCTATAAAATACTACAGCATATTATATGTACCCTTCACCCAATTTCTTAGGTGTTAATAATTTAAACATAACCATTATACAACTAACAGAATTTGGAATATATTTTTCTTATAATCTCTTTAATGTTACTTAAGCCATTTACTTTGTTTCTGTTAATCTTCACCCAAGGATATCTTTCCATTAAATTTTAGAGAGAGTAAAGGGAAAGGGAGAGACACATTGATTGGTTGCCTTCTGCACATGCTCTGATAGGGACTGGGGATCAAGCCAGCAACTGCGGTACATGCCCTTGACTGGAATCGAACCTCGGACCCTTCAGTCCAAGGGCTAATGCTCTATCGACTGAGCAAAACAGGCTGCAGCTTAATTCATTTACTTTTAATCTATATGTGTCTTTATATTTAAAGTGGGTTTTGTTTTTGATTCAGCCTCATTATCTGTCTTTAATTGGTGCATTTATGCTACTGACTTTCAGAGTGCTTACTGATAGAGTTACTGCCATATTTGGTGGCTTCTGGGGCTTTTGGGGCCTGCCAGCGGCCCGGGACCAATGTGGTCCCGGGTGGCAGGCAGTCAGCTCCTGGGGCTTGCGGGGCCGGCCTGCCTAGGGCCCGGGACTGGATTGGGTCCCGGGTGGCAGGCAAGCAGCTTCTGGGGTTGCCCACGGGGGCCTGGATGGTCGCTCGTGCTGTCCCGCCTGCCTGCAGTATGCAAATTAGCTGCCATCTTTGTTGGTGGTTAATTTGCATATCTCGCTGATTAGCCAATGGGAGGCATAGCGAAGGTATGGTCAATTACCATGTTTGGATATTACTAGATAGGATACTGTAACTGGGAGATGGCGATGTAACCACGAAACGACATATGTTGAGTCCTACGTAACCCGAGGACTGCCTGTATAAAGTTCTGAGCTTTTAAGAGAAAATTTTGGAAAACTTGAACCCACCATTTTGAACTGACAGCATTTTCTGATGAGATTTGTGGTGGTAGCACCAAATGCCATTTTTGTTGTCATATAACAAAACATGCCAACATTTGAAAACTTGCATAAAGCAATGAATTGATTATTTTGCAAATTGCCAACACACAATTTTACAAAAGGATGCTTGGGAAAAAGATTCATTCAAAGTTTAAGAGGGTATGAAAGGTTCATTTATGGTTTCAGATTCCCTACTGCAGCTATCTTTTAAGAAACTATCACAGGTCAAGTTTTGGTGGTATATCAAAGAACACTAGTTGCAGTTTACCTGGAGAAAAGTATAACTTTTTCCTTTTCCAACGATGTTTTTGTGAAGCCAGATTCTCTCTCTCTCTCTATATATATATGTGTGTGTGTGTGTGTGTATGTGTGTGTGTATATATATACATAGTTTTTAATCCTCACCTGAGGATATTTTTTCCCACTGATCTGTAGAGAGTGTGTGGAAGGAAGGGAGGGGAGAAGGAGAGAGGGAGAGGGAGAGACATCAACATTGACATTGATGTGAGAGACACATCGACTGGTTGCCTCTCACTTGCACTCAGACCAAGGCTAGGGATCAAACCTGTAATTAAGGTACACGTCCTTGACTGGGAATCAAACTTGTGACCTTTTGGCTTGCTGGCTGATGCTCTAACCACCGAGGAAAACCAGTCAGGGCAGATTTTCTCTATACAACCAAAATTTATTGAATGTAGAATCTTGTGTGTCTATATTATAAATGTTAAAGAGATTTGCAAAAAGTACAACAGTCACTCTTCTAATTTTTTCTTTAAAAAGGTTAGTTTTGCTTGGCTGGTGTGCCTCAGTGGTTGAATGTCAACCTATGAACCAGGAGATCATGGTGAGATTCTTATCAGGGCACATGCCCAGGTTAAGGGCTCCATCCCCAGTAGAGGGCGGGAAAGAGGCAGCCAATCGATGATTCTCATTATTTTTTTATTTTTTTTTTTAAAATATATTTTATTGATTTTTTACAGAGAGGAAGGGAGAGAGATAGAGAGTTAGAAACATCGATGAGAGAGAAACATCGATCAGCTGCCTCCTGCACATCTCCCACTGGGGATATGCCCGCAACCCAGGTACATGCCCCTGACCGGAATCGAACCTGGGACCTTTCAGTCCTCAGGCCGACGCTCTATCCACTGAGCCAAACCGGTTTCGGCAATTCTCATTATTGATGTTTCCATTTCTCTCCCTCTCCCTTCCTCTCTGAAATCAATTAAAAAAACCATATTTTTAGAAAGTTAGTAGTTTCTAAGTTGTGTTAACATGAATGGGTTTACTGTCATTTTTAAATTTTAATATGGCCACCCTAGCTGGTTTGGCTCAGTGGACAGAGCGTTGGCCTGCGGACTGAGGGGTCCCAGGTTTGATTCCGGCCAAGGGCACATGCCCAGGTTGTGGGCTTGATCCCCAGTGGGGGGTGTGCATGAGGCAGCCAATCAATGATTCTCTCCTCATGTTTCTATCTCTCCCTCTCCCTTCCTCTCTGAAATCAATAAAGATATATTAAAAAAAATTTTTTTTTAATATGGCCTACATTAATAGCTATGATCAATATAATCAAACACTATTTGGGGTTCTCATATTTTCTATTAAGTATAAAGAGGCCCTAATACCAGCAAGTTTGAGATCTACTGGTTTAGCAAACCTTACAAATTTATACAGGGATGTCATGTGGAAAAGGCAATAAATTTATTTAGTCTTACTCTAGATATGATAAAAAGTTATAGAATCATTTAATTTATCCAGTAATACAAAAAACAATCTCAAAAGAACAGCAAGTGGTGTCATTTGCAAATATTCATGCATTAGAGAATCAATCTATAGGTTGCATGATGACCTTCCAACTTAAGACTTAGGAGAGACTAGTGAAAAGCAAAACTAGAATTCAAGTCCAAGTTTCAAGTAAGGGTCTTCCCATAGTACTAATTTAGTGCTCAAGTCCCAGTGCCTTTCTCCTGCCCCTCAATGTTTTTGGGTTTTAAAGTACCAATCACCTACTTAGGCCCATACCTTTTTTCCATTTATGCATGTGTGAACGATTATTTACACACTCTGCTAACAGGATTGGTTACTAAAACACAGTTTAACCACAAGATGCAAGGTGAAGAGTCAGTAAATTATGAAGGATGTGGCATACCGAATTCATCTTTGTACAACTGAATACCGAAAGCAATCTAACCTGTGTCTAGAAGATGAAGGAGTCCTCCTCCTCCTAGAGCGTGATCTTGATCTTGAGTGCCTTCGTTTTTCTTCTTTTTTATCTGGATTTAAAAGAAAGTAAATCTGGATTTTAAAACCATCAAATAGATTAATCTGATTCAGGAATTAATGTAATCCCACTTAGGAATTGGGTAAGAATTTCATCATCTTAATTTTCAGCATTTACATAAATTCCTTAAATATTATAAGTGATCATTTTACAATCAAAACTTTGAAGCTTACTGAAGTGACACAAATTATCCAGGGTTTTGATAGATTCAAATTAGACTTCTGATTTTGGCTAGCCAAATGGACAATTTCACTTTCTAGACTCAGGAGTCTGATAAGTGTTGTTCATAAAATAATCTATGAAGAGTTATCTTTTTCACCCTTTATTCTTTAAAGTTTTATAAACAAGGAGTCCCTTTTTCCACTCCCAGGTACTACTTTCACAAATTTCACTACATTTCACTGAGATTAATACGTTAACCCTTTGGTCCATGAGCAAACATTCTAACCACTGAGAAAACCAGCCATAGCCTTATAATCTGTCTTTCCTCTTCCTCACCAATGTTTAACTGTGTAGAGGAAATAGATCTAGAATGATTTGTCCCATTTCCTAGTTTTTAAGTAACACATAACAAGAGAAATAAAGCCATTACACTTATGAGCAATCATCTCAGTGAGAATGAGTCCTCTTTCACATTCAGAGCCTTTCATTAACAGAATTCAAATTACTGTTAATGTCATTATTAATAATTTAAAAAACAGTGGAGAGATAAAATTCATACAGAAACCACTTTTAGTCATTCTGATTATAAGTTTTCACTGAACACAATTACAGCACGGTGTTCTAGCTTTGGTGTCAGTGATCCAGTTGTGTACTGAAAGTACCAGGTCCTGTTTGACATGTTACCTTGGGATAACGTTTTGTTAAATGAGGTAACACACATAAAGCACTTAGTATTAACTCATCCAATGTTGTATATAAATTATTTTTCAAAAGCTCTACCTACTAAAAATTCTTCCTACTTACTAAGAAGTAACAGTGAAAAATAAAACACTATTTAATGGGGGAATCAAAGATTGAAACACAGGCCAACAGTAGGATAACCATTCATTTCATCTCAAAAGATAATCTGCAAAAAATAAGGTCTGCTTTTCTTTAAACAAATGGCATCAACAGAAGCATCATCTCTTGGTCAAATAAAAGACTAAAATCAATTAGGCTATCCCCATATAACAAACATGAATGATAAAAAACCACCCCAAGCTATAAATTAAAAAACAAACAAAAAAATCACACTAATTATTAGATAATCCTAGGCCAGCAGTGGGCAAACTATGGGCCCGCGGGCCGGATTTTGGCCTGTTTGAAATGAATAAAACTAAAACAAAACAAAACAAAACAAAAAACAAAAAACAAAAACCGGTACCCTTTTATGTAATGATGTTTACCTTGAATTTATATTAGTTCACACAAACACTCCATCCATGCTTTTGTTCTGGCCCTCTGGTCCAGTTTAAGAACCCATTGTGGCCCTTGAGTCAAAAAGTTTGCCCAACCCTGTCCTAGGCTCTACTAACATTTAGGAATGGATCATTTGAAGCAGGGGTGGTGCCTGTCCTGTATGGTGAAGGATGTTTAGCAATATCCCTGACCCTCTGCCCACGAGATACATTTGGTACCAGCACAACAACTAAGTGTCTCTAAATATTTCCAAGTATGTCTGGGTGTCAACTCCAACCGGTCCCCCCCACACCCCTACTGAAAATCACTCCACTAAATGATCTTCTATCAGAATTTGAAAAAATTAAAAAATGACTAGAGTATTAAGTCAAAAACTTTTCAAACTAATGCACTAATCATATTTGCAAACAATCATGTAGTTTAATATTCAATACAAGTGCATTAACATATTTTACCTGGTTCTATGGCAGCAGATATTAGGGACTGTGCTTCTCGTACTCTCTTCATGGCTTCCTCTATTTCTTTACTAGAGGTATCTGATTTCAGACTTGGTGAAACAAGACCAGCAGCTACATGATTCAACCTGAAACAGAACCAAGAATTGAGATAGGAAACATTTTAAAATGCACAACAGCATTTCAAGTAAATACGTTTCATATAACATTTTAGTAAGACATTCCTTGGGAAAAAAGGGGAGGATTCCATTTTTTTTTTTTTTTTGTAAAACCATACATAATATAAGTACCCTTTTGAATATTTAAATGCCACCTGCATTTTAAAGACTCAGGATATCTGAAATAAGAAAAATGCCTTCTTAAACCTGAATGAACATTCATCCAATTTCCATAAACACATTTTGTGAAATGCTAGTACATGGAAATATGCTAATGCTAAAGATTTTTGAATAATGGAACTTTTCTTCATATGACTTAAAAACTTTCTACATCATAATTCTGTTGGGGAAGAGCATTTTAAGTTTGTGGAAGAAACTGGGGCAGAGGTTGATGGCACAACCAAGTTACTCATGAAATTCCTGATCGGAAAGGCTAAAGATACACTTTTAAAGGGTTTATACGTGTGAGAAAAAATTAGACACCAAATTTAGGACAGTAGTCATTTGTGGGCAGAGTGGGAAATGTAACTAAAAATGGGTACACAGGCAATTTCAACTTGATTGATATTTCATTTTATAAGCTGGGTGACAGGTACCCGCTTGAACTTTATCTCGTTTTTAAGAAAGAAGTCCACAAAGTACTACAGCGAAATAATCCTGTCTTCCCTTTTCCCATACTCTTCCACTTATTGATAGTGACTTCCACCAAGGAGAAAAAGGTTTCAGTTCAAATTTAACATACTGACAAATTGCAATGAAAGTAACTATGACTTTGTTTTATGTATACCAAGTAGGAAATAGAAAAGTGACAGCATGAAGAGAACTTTTCAAAGCACCTAAAAGATGCTGGCCATTATTATGGTGACATATGCCAGTCCTTGGCTCTAGGATTGTTTTTCCCTCATTTATGTCTCCTAACTCCTATTCATCCCCTAGGGCTTAGCTTCTCTGATCTTCAAACTAAGTTCTTGTAATAAGTTCTTTCCATAGCACCCTTGTACTTCATCTAGTTGGATCCACATGCTTTAAATAACATCTCCCTTCCAAACTAGTGTATAAATGCTATAAAGATACAACTTTATAGTAGGCATTCAATATGTACTTTAAACGAATCAACTAAAAATAGTGTTTAGCTCTTTCCCCATTATTTTGGTGTAAGTTATTTACAATTATTTTGAAATACTCAAATTACATTAAGACAAAATCCTCTTATTGATGGACTCACCACTGGATTTTTCTGTTTCTAGAAAACTGAATTACGTATTGCATGCCTTGAGATAACTTTCTTTTTAGCTATCAAAACACCGTTCTCTAGACATTCAAATACTATATCCATATCATCAATGGAAACACAGAAAAAAACCTTACTTGGGATCAACGGTACTCATAAGCTTCAGCAACTGATCTGCAGCAAGAGACTAAAAAAAAAAAACACCACAAAATATAACAACAGTAGGAATACATGAAGCAATAATGATTTCCTTTTATTTTTCCCAGGATGTTGAAATGTCCTAGGAGACCCTGGCAAACCTACAAAAAGTAACATACCAGGCACATCAATGCCCAACAGAAATACAATGCCAGTTGAATGTCAGTTAAGTTTTCCAGTAGCCACATTAAAAAATAAAACAAAAAACAGATGACATTAGTTACTATAGTACTGATTGGATACTCAAAGGTGCTTTATCCAAGTTAAATATCCTAGAGGCCCGGTGCATGAAATTCCTGCATTGGGGGGGGGGGGGGAGGGAGGGAAGAGGGTGTCCTCTCAGCCCGGCCTGCACCCTTTCACAGTCTGGGAGCCCTCGGGGGATGTCCGACTGACATGGATGGGGAACAGGCTCCCACCACCGCCACTGTGTTTGCCAGCCATGAGCTCGGCTTCTGTCTGAGTGGTGCTCCCCCGTGAAAGTGCACTGACCACCAGGGGGCAGCTCCTGCATTGAGCGTCTGCCTCCTGATGGTCAGTGCATGTCATAGTGACTGGTCGTTCCGCCGCTGGACCAAAACTGGCTCTCCGACATCCCCTGATGTGTCCCAGATTGTGAGAGGGCACAGGCCAGGCCGAGGGACCCCACTGGTGCATGATTGCGGCTGGGGAGGGACGGCAGGAGGGCTCCAGTGTGTGTCTGGCCTGTCTTGCTCAGTCCCAAATGGCTGGACCCCAGCAGCAAGCTAACCTACCAGTTGGAGCATAATAAAAGCCTGATATGCTAAGTGTCCGGTCACCCAGTTGGCTGTTCAACCAATCAAAGTTTAATATGCTAATGATATGCTAAGACCGCTCAACCATTCACTATGATATGCACTGACCACCAGGGGGCAGATGCTCTGAGTGGTAGGTTAGCTTGTTGCTGGGGTCCGGCCGATAGGGACTGAACGAGATGGTCTGGACATACCCTGGGATCCCTCTCGCGGCCCCTCCCCGGCTGGCCAACCTCCTGTGAATTCGTGCACCAGGCCTCTAGTGAAGATTATAAAACTGAACAATCTACTTTTTATAGAAAAACTAGAGGCCCAGTGAACGAAATTCATGCACTGGTAGGGTCCCTAGCCGCTGCCCGTTTCCAGCCAGGGCTTCCCTCCCTTCCCCTAGCCGCCTGCAGCAGCTACTGGCCAGGGCCTCCCTCCCTTCCCTTGGCCAGCCCTGTCCCCACCCCCTGGTCATACTCCTGGAAGAACTCAGGTTGAGGGGACAATTTGCATATGCTTTTATTATACAGGATGACGGAAAGTAATGCTTAAAAGAAACATGTAAAACACAACTCAAAGTACTTAGCCAATATAATAAATCAAAATATTTTCACAAAGGATGTCCAAAAAGGTTCAGCCAAATTACAATGCGAGAAAATTTCCAAGTGAGCAAATGACAGAAAAAAAAAAGTCTCCATAACATATGATGTGTTAAATTTCTGTGAAACTACTCTCTACTTTGAACTATGTAAAATGAAAAATTTTTGCCTTGGCCAGGTGGCTTAATTGGTTGGAGCACTGTTCTGTATACCAAAAAAAGTTGCAGGTTCGATTTGTGGTCAGGGCGCATAACCTAGGTTGCAGGCTGGATCCCTGATTAGGGTGCACACAGGAGGCAACTGAGTGATGTTTCTCTCTCTCTAAAAGTCAATAACAAAAAATCCTTGGATGAGGACTAAAAAAATAAAATAAAATTATATGAAGTAAAATTCTTTAATGGATTAATAGGCTAATAATGCAGTGATCTTTTAAATCTTTTTAACAAGACTATATGAGAAAAAATACTACACCATAGTAATTAGTTATCTTCCACTTTTTAAATGCCCAGTAGTAGTTATAAATAAAATAAAGTCTTTAATTACGAGCTCAAAGTTGAAGGGTATTGAATTATACCTGAGAGTTCAAGTTTGCTCCAGGAAGCCCAAGTGCAGCAAGGGCAGGATCAAGAGTAGGAGCTCCCAAAGCAGCCAATGGAACAGCGCCAATCTGTGAAATTACAAAATTTAAAATTTCATTTGTTCCTTATAGTGTGTGTGTGTGTGTGTGTGTGTGAGAGAGAGAGAGAGAGAGAGAGAGAGAGAGAGAGAGAGAGATATGTGTGTGTGGAGGTTGTCACCTTATTTTGCCCTCTAAAGGGCAAAGAACTAAGTTTAAGTCCATAGGCTATGTGCTGTCTGTTGCAACTACTTGACTTTACCATTATAGCCTGAAAAAAGGCATATACAACAAACAAATGGACATAGTTTGCCTACCTCTGGCCTCATTTTCCACCTGTCATTATAGCACATTTATCCCTACAATAAGAATTTAGGGGAAAAAATTCAATGTATTTTTGTGCCAATCAAAAATATTTGTCTCTTAGCTCCAAATCCAGTTCTTTGCCCTGTTTTGTGATATTGAAGATAGCATTTCTCCATTGACAGATGGAATCTTAAAAGCTTTATCTACCGGGGGATAAGAACTGGAATGACATTGTAAAATGGATTTTTCTTCCTTGTTTCTATGTTCCCTTTTTGATTGTTACTGTAGCACCATATGAAATACCCAGTGGCCTTTACCTCTCAGAAAGTTGCAGAGCCATCTTCTTGGGCAACTACCTAACAAGTTCTGTGGCACCCTGGGAAACTTCTCTAGCATCCAACCCTTTCAAAGGTCTGAATCTTATGCGAGGAGCGTTGCAAAGCCCTTTCATCTAAATGTGTTTTTTCCCCTTGTACTCTTTCTTCTTCAGCCCTAGAAGTAATGGTTGCTTCCTATATCTGCAATTTATGTATTCTTACAGTTCCCTTAGTAAGGTCCAGTTACAAGTTACTAATTCCTTATACTAAACTCTCACTGTTCAAATTACTGTGTGATTATGTCTCCTGTCCAATATAATTCTGATTAATCAATAATTTAAGATACAAACCACACAAAATCTTATAGCTTTGAAGGCAGTTTGACCTTCTCTATAAAAGTTCTCCTAGCTTCCAATTAATTTTTAATAAATATAAGGTTCCAAATTTTCTGTGATTTAACTATTTACTAAGTACAGTTAAAAAACTGTGTTAATACTATTATATAAGCTATTTTGGCTTTTACACAATTTTATACATCAAAGTTGTCTACAAATTTCTCAAGGTCCACATTTTATATGGGACAATCAAAGTCATACTCATAAAAGCTGGGAATTCCTGATCTCATTCTCCTTCATAATACATACTGTTCACTTAACAGTTAACTAAACTATTTGGACAGGCAAAATAATTTAATAAAAAGAATGTTGTTATAAAGTTCTAGTTGAGGCTCTATCATTTGCTTTATCTGTGAAACCACTGACCAGTTACAGTCTTTCTGAGTTGTTTCAATACATAACATTTAAAGAACCTTTTGCCTCTATAATGATATGCTTTTTATATTACCAAGTAAATTTTTCTCCAACTTGAATATTTTATTCCCCATATCAAATATATATCCACAAATACATTTTTATTTCAAGACACCTACTTAATTCAAACCCCCAGTTTAAGAGCAAAAGATTAAAAAACATTGGTAAAGAAACAAGTCTGAAATTCACCTTTATTTTTTTTCCTGATTAAAACAAACTATGCTCCACGAAATTTTTTTTCACATTACTGAGTTATTCTGAATCAGTGGCAAAACCAATGTAACAGATATTCTTAAAATGCAAACTTCTAAGATTCTCTTTAGGATTTATGATCGCAATAGCCTTTAATATCATAAACAATGGTATCATTCTGTGAACTAGAATCACAATACTTAAAAAGCTCAAATATGTTTAGCTTTATCCACAATTCTGTGTTCCTTTTTATCTTTTAAGATTTCAATAGAGCTAGTACCTGGGTAAGTGGGTTAGGAGTAGGCAGGAGTCCACCACCAGGCAGAAGACCTGCCACTGCATTAGCTGGTGCCAACAGAGACAAAGCCTTAGTCTCATCAGGAATAACTCCTGCAGAGAAACATCCTTGCATTAGAACACACCCTTTTGCAAGACAGAAAACACACAAAAACACCCAGAAAATGTCTCCCTGATACACCACCTGAGTTTGTTGAAAGTACTTATGTTCGCTAAAATATAAAGCTTGATTTCTATTATTATTTATCATTAACTTTATGTCAGAATGAAACTTCAATGTGTGAAAGTTTGTTTCCTTTTTTTCTCTACAAATGGTTAAGTTTCTAGAGTAAAAAAAATAGCACAATACACACTACTTTTTTGTTAACACTGCCAAGATTTCATCACCTGTACTCGATTTTTAAGTCATGAACCAAACGTAAGCAAGCACAGTCGGTTCTCCAGGGGTGTGCTCTCAACTTTCAAAAGCTGTTTTATGAACAACGACTCGTGTCGGCTGCTTCACTATAAAGCACACAGAAAAATCAAGATACACAAGACAAAAAAAGTTTGATTTAGGGGTTAATAATATGGTACAGTTACTATGATTTTCTTTTACACCTACCATACAAATTTTGTAAAAATTAAGAGAAGGAAAGTATGTAAAGGAAATATTCTGTTGGAATCAAGTGTAGGGCTTTTGCTGACTCATGAAAATGAATGTTTCTGAAGGTCTCTGAATACACACTGGATGTGTGTGGGGGAGTAAGAGAGAGAAAGAGAGAGAGAGAGAGAGAGAAGGGGTAAAATAACATGGCACATTCCTTACCTGTACAGTAAAATGCTTTATATTCCAGCATGTGCCATGCTAACCATACCAAAAAATGCTGCTATACAGTGTGAGTTCAAAAGCTAACTTAAGCAAACTCCTAAAGTCGAAAACAACATGTATATCTGTTTTTAAAGCCTAAATTGTGTATTCAGATAACATCTAAGGGTCCTAAGACAAATATTTATGTACACAATTTAAATTCTATCCAACAGCAAAAGCCCTATACAGATGGATTAATCTGTTAATGTGCCCAAGCCCCCAAAATGAGAGTTCAATAAGACAATTAAACTATATATTTGCAAATACCAGTAGTATTTCTGTAATACATATTAAGAAACTGCATCTCATCATAAAACATACAATATGTACAGGGCACTTAAGAGAAACTGGATAAGCTGCAGAAGAAAACTGTTGGGTGGTATTTTCAGCAGGGCCTGGTATATAGTTCAGGCTGAACCAGGGAAAAGAACTGTAAAACACAACAACAAAAAAGAAAAACCACTGTTAAATAAAGGTAATGGTTCCTTCCACCTATACTGAGAAGTGCCGATAATATAAACAAATGTATACTACACAGCACTGTTATCTTGCTTGTGTCAGAGCTGTCATCAATTTAGATACCCAGAGTTATGGAGGGGGGATGGGGAGGGAGAAGATCATTTAGATATAGGGCATTAATGCATCAATATTAACAAACCTACAAAGATTATGGGATAATCTTGCATGCAAAATTATGTCTCAAGAGGATAATATTAAATATCAACATCTTATTCAAATTAGTGCATTTGCAACATTTCTGGCAAACTACAATCCTCTTGAATTTATTGTGAGACACCTGATAGAAGATCTGCATCCATTAAAAAAAAGTCATGCATCTGATCCTCTGATTAAAAAAAGACTATTTGAAAATAAAACTACAATTTAAAAATAGCAATGAGGCCCCTCACCAGTTAATTTTCATGCGTCAAGAGTATTTTTTTTACTGCTGCTTTGATAGAACCATGAAATACTGCATGAATGTGTAGAAATGAAAGAAAAAGAAACAGACAAAAGAAACAAACATTAACCAAGGAACCTAAATAACCCCCAAATCCATTACTATTAAGAGCTCCTTCCAAATCCAGCTATCTCAGTTTTACCAATTAAAGATTATTCCTTACCGTATACTTTGTGTCTATTGTTCTAAAACATGATCAAGAAGCAACACCAAAGTGTCAAAGCTAAAACTAGGGTGAATGGTGACAAATGGATTGAGTACATCAGTTATTTAGTGGAGATAACATTAATACAGCATACCATACCATTATTAAATACACTAAAAATAGATTCCAGAACTAAGTATTTTGGTAATTCCACATACAGTCCTAAATATTTCACTTCTGAAATAGATTCAGAAAAATTACCATAGTCTAAAAATATTTATAAAAGCCAATTATATGATGATATACTGTATTATGTCCAGGGCTCAGGAACTATGATATAAAACTTAGCCAATAAGAATTATTTAAATTTAAAGGCTAATGTTTTGTACGTTACTCACATGATTTGACCCTTGTTCCAAAAACTATCATCTATATTTTACTTATTCTAAATTTGAATTCTGTAAATTTTCTTTTGGTGATAAGTCTTATCCTACAACAGGCAAACTGATATAAAAAGAACTGCTTAATCAAAACACACTAAATCAAATGTTTATCAGCATATATATTTTAAAACCTTTAAATTGGTCGACACACTTTAATATCATAGAGATAGATGTACTATTATATAGATGCCTTTACCCCATCTATGAATGCAACTTAATTTCTTTAGAAACCAGAGGCAATTTGTTTAAGTTTTAAGGACTAGACATTTCACAACTTTTACAAGGTATGGTGTAAATGTTCACATTGGTATTCAAAGAGCCGAGATAGCATTTAAAGTAAACAATATCAAGATTCTGCTTCCACTGACCAGTACATTAAGGAAAGGGGAAAGCATTAAATTCTGGTCAAAATTAACTTAATGCTGTAAATTAACTTAAAACCCCATAATTATTAACTTAATTAAAACCCAGTAATTTTATATTTCAGTTATTTCTTTGATCAAAATTTATAGATAACAAAAAGCAAATAAAGTAGCAGTACATTGGGAACAAACTAATTATAAAATATGGCTTAGAAAATTTACAAAATGGAATTAAAATAGTGCTGTCTTGTCACAGTGGCTTTTTTTAAGATCCCCAAACCCTGCTCATTATTTCTGTCAAGTTACTTTAACCTCCTAAAATGTAAAAAGAAAAGAAAATGTAGTTAACAAATGGTTACACCAGAAAAACACTTGGGGGACTTGAGTGCTTGCTGGCCTTTAGTTAATGTCTAGAATCCCCTGTAGCTGCAGAGGACCCACTGTTTTTCAGTCATCAGGAAGAGTTTTGCATTTGCCTTCTCCACTACAAAAATCACACACACAAATAACAGAGAGAAGAATTTATTATTTAGAGATATTCTAGAAAATATAGCAAGAATGAACAAGAAAATCTGGCAATAAAAACAAAACACCCAGTGCCCATCTGGCACCTAGGCTATAGGAAATCTTGAATTTTCATACAAACCAAAATCATTGCAACCCTTGGTATACTGGAATTCAATATGGGATCTTTTTGTAAAGTTGTCAGTGAGGAAGCACTAAAAAAATAAAGCCCAGTCCTTTATTCAAAACAGAAATAACATCATGCATCTATTTGAAGGTCCCTGTGTAAATGTGCATGGAGTGAACCATTCACCTTCAGGACTTTTTCATAAAACTCAATGTTACATTAACTAAGTAAATGAATCTTAAGGAATTACAATTAGGGACATGGTTTTAAAGAACTTAATGTTTTAAAATAATGGAATGGTTAAATATCTTATAAAAACAGATCCGATTTCTAATTTTTAGAATTAAAATCTCAAGTAAAAATATGGACCACAGTATAACAAGGGTTTCAAATTGTTAATAGCTTAGATTTTTAACATGCTACTAACACTCACTCTAAAACTATACTGAGGTAGATGGTCATCATTGGATGCCCACATAGGTAGGTAAACAAAGCACAAACCTTCTGCATATGGTACGACTATCAATGCTCTGTCAACGAATACAGTGTTTGTCAGATGCTGTGCCACAACTGCTGAGTCCGGATCATGGAATTTAACAAAGCAGACACGGGATGAGACCGGCAAAGGTGAATCACTGAAAAACAAACAAATTGCATAAAAGTAGAGGAAAAGAATATCAATTAAAACATAAGTGTATGATTCATAAACCCACACCTGCATTTCTAAAGCAAAATAGGCAGATATTAGTAACTGCACATATATTAGTTAGCTAGTTTTAAAAAATGACATCACAAATAAAGAACTATCCACTAAACTCATGTAGAGCAAATTGCACGCATGCAATCATTGTTTAACTTTATAGTTTACCAAGTTAAAAACTCTTTGAAACTCAAGTGTCAGAGGTTGAGCAGACCACAAAAATGTCAACACTTGAAGAAAAATAATACCAATACCAGTTATTTTTAAATACAGGTAGCAAGTAGTCTTGGCTTAGAAAACTTTTCAGAGCAAAAAATATACAGAATTCACCAATTTAGGAACAAAAGAATATTGTGGAAAAGTATATCTATTTGACAATCGAGTTTTCTTTACCTGCCTACTAAATAAAATGCCCTGTCCTCTTTCATCTATAGCATCAGAGAGAGAAAAAATTTTAAGCACACATGGCAACAGTACTCCACCCTTTAGTGTTACTAGTATGCAAAATTTCAATAAGCAAAGGAGTCACTTCCCTCAGCAAACTGCTTTCTTAGATAAAACAAAAACCAAGTGCTAATGTACAAGTTATAGCAGACTACAAGGTAAGATAAATTAAGAGAGTGCAGATTTTGTTTTGTTTCAAATATAGGGTGGTTCAAATTTCTGCCACAAAACTTTCCATCTATGAGAGGGAAAGATTAAATATGGGCAGGAGTTACTCCCTAATCCCAACCCAAAAGTTGTTTTAAAACCAATGCCCTATGGCAGCAGTAATCACATCATCCTGGTCATACATTAGAATCTTCTGTGGAGAAAAAAATACCCTGGCTCTCTACTCCACAGCAATTAAATAAGATCTCTTATGAAGTACTAAGTGTTTTCCCCTTCTTTATTTTAATTCTGACAATTTTTATATGCACCCAGGGTAAAGAACCTCTGCCAAATGTAAGCCAATTACATTTTAAGACTCAATGAAAAGGAAAATCCTATAGTATCTTTGAATGTCATTAGAATGAGGCTTACTGTTAATTTTCTTAATAAACTAGATTTTCAAGTGTACACAAAAATGTATTTACATCAGATTTGGTTACCCTAGGTATTGCAGAGGTAAGTACTTGCTGACCCCCCCCCCCCCATTCCAATTTGTGTGCTAACATGAAAATAAAACCTCATTACTTATAATGAAGACTAACATAAAGCTGTATAACCCTCAAACCCGTTAGAATTTGTAAGTTTACCCAAGGCGTTGCCCTTAGATACTAAGCATAGATCCTAATCTAAGCTCAAAGCAAAGTTGACAATATATCCATCCACATAGAATTTAAGCCACCTTGTCATAGAAGCTTACTGCTAAATATTTTTGAAAGGCTACAGTGTTTTTTAATGTAGACATAGTGGTGTTGTTTTTTTTAATATGAAGGACCACTGGTGGAAAATGTAATAATGTTACACCCAAGAGTAGTGGAAAGAATACAATTCCAGCAGTTTTAGTACTAAAGCTATATACAGCAATTTGTATTTTTTTCCTGATATCCATATTTTTACCACTAAAGAGCTCTTTAAATGCTATAGTTAGATAAGGGAGAGAACTTAGTTTGCCTTAATTTTTTTTTAAGGTAAAGTAGCATATAAGTTACTTACATAATGATTAAAGTATCTATTTTTGGCCATTGAAATATTTACTTAAATAATGAATTTAAGTTTACCTGCAGTGTTACAGTAGCCTGTAGTTACTGCGCACTTTTGACATATGCTTTGCTGGGATCATTACCCTATCAACATTCCAGTTATATTTTCCATTATGAAATCCCACTAAAACCAAACCCGCCCCCAATAGGCAGGGGCTCAGTCATATATGTACTTTAAAACATGCCAACTTCCAGTCTCCCAAATTACTGATGACCCCAACCAATGACCTCATATTCTAGAAGAGGGAGAACTAAACTTAACCTGTTGATGATTGGTGCCATAGAGGAAAACAAAGCAGTTAAATTGAATAAAGACGAAGCAGGTGTGCTGTATTTTTATACAGGGTGATCAGGAAACATTACGTGGCATCTGAGCAACAAAAGGAAATAAGCATATCATGGTCATATCGAGGAGAAAAGAGTTCCAGGGGGATATGAATGCCTTTGGTGGGGAGGAGGATGTACACCCTAAAAACAACAACAACACACCATGTGCAAATGTGTCTATAATAGTCATAATTTTATGTAATCTGAGCCAATTAAGCATGTTCTAAGAGCCAAGTTTTGACATAATGAACCCTCTTGGACTACTAAGGCTCCATAGCACATTGTCAACAGGGAACTACTGAAAACTGTAGCAAGCTTAAAGAAACTGTCTATCAAATATTTCCAAATTGTGCAGGTCAGATGAGCTATTGGGATGTAAAATTAGCAACAAAAGTAAACATCTACATAAGTACTATTCAATTTAGGGAAGCCACTAAGATAATACAGCATTTACTACATTGTAACTTCGTACATTTTCAGGTGAGAAAATAGTCTGTATGTGGGAACACATATGGAGTCAAAGAGCAGAAACGTGTCAATATATAACTCCTTCTTCCAAAACAGGGAATGTCCTCTTAATGTACAGTACCCCAGATCATTGTACATCTGCTATCCCGGTTACATGATGAAACTACTCCTTGGATTATAAAGCAAAAAGCCCTGAGTCCAGTATCCCTCTAAGATACTGACCATGGAATGGGTAAAGGATAAGCCAGAAAGCTGATTACACCTCCCCTTTGTCATCTTTTAAATAAATGAATCATAAAAAGAGCATCTTCAAAATAAACAAAAACACTTCAAGGTCAGCAACTGGGAGCTGACAAAACTAAAGGTCCCTGTGTAAATGTGCATGGAGTGAACCATTTGAAACCCTTGTTATACTGTGGTCCATGTTTTTATTTGAGATTTTAATTCTAAAAATTAGAAATTGGATCTGTTTTTATAAGATATTTAACCATTCCATTATTTTAAAACATTTTTAAGTTCTTTAAAACCATGTCCCTAATTGTAATTCTTAATAACTTGTGGGACTGGAAAGAATTATTTTGTAAATAAATCCAGTATCTCAAATACTTTGAATATAATCAAATGTGTGACTCATTTTTCTGCCATTTACTGTTTATTAATTTTACTAACAACTTAAGGAGGAATATGTGAGAAAAACTGAGTAACAGGAAAACATCTATTTCTGTATGTTCATATTATGAAAGCTATTTGTCCTTCATTACCAAAGCAAATTGAGTTTCTATTCAAGATTACTACAAATACATGTTCCCAGAACTGTACACCTCATGCAAATAATTCTAAAATCTCTCTCAGGTATATTCCCCTAAATAGTCAAGACAACACAACAATTTGAAAACACTAAGAATCACCTGAAAATATTTTAAATAGGAAGTGATAAAATACGATAATACCTCACAAACACCACAGTATGGTCAACTTGTATTATTTTGGTGTAGAGAGTACATAGAGTAATGATTTATCACATCCACCAAAACAGCAGATTCCTATTTCCTGTTTAGAACTAAAGTGAAATCATAAAACTAAGTGGGATGGGAGAAGATACTGAAAGTAACATTTGAATTTTGAAAGAGTGCAGACTCTTTTATTCCTAATGTTTGTTCTAATAATTATCACATCTTATCTAGCGTCATAGCTTCTTTACTTTTCTTTACAATCCACTCATTTAATACTTTGGCAATAAAAATGTGAGACAACAGGATAAAAAAAGCCATATACTCTAAATTAAAAATTTAGAACTGTAAAACATCATAACTATATACATTATTTAAACAAAGAAAAACTCTAACTTTCAGCTATAACCCATTTCTTTTGTCATTAAAATTATGTACTCGGGTTCACTGAATTTACTGCTGTGAAGAGTGTTAATATATTAACTCTGTATGTATTCAGTCGGCCAGAATCCCGGAACAGCAATACCTAGCAATAAGTGAACGACCACCTACAAAGTTCAATAATAAATTTACATAGGAACGGGCAATTTTGTTACTTTCCAAAGAACTCAAAGAAACAACTTTAAAAAAAAGATTAACCAAGACACATAAAATGCCGTTATCATGCTTTAGTTGCTCAAAGAACGACCCTGTTGGCACGATTTAAGGGGCCGGGGGTTGAAGGTTAATCCCCGAACCCCTGGCCCTGCCGCCTTAGTCGGCCCAGCAGGCAGATGCTTCCCCAGGGACCGCACAGCCAGCTCAGCCAAAGCTCCCGCTCCCGAAGCATCGACAGGGCCTAGGAAATGGTGCTAGGCCCAGGCTGGGAGGAGTTAGCGAAATGGTGATGGTGGACGATACTCACTCCGGCGGGAAGAGGCGCAGTTCGTCGATCTTGCCTAGGAAACCGAAGAGGGTCCGCATCTGCTCAGAGCTAGCGCTCGGGGAGACATTAGTCACCTGGATTACCTCGGTGCCGCCGCCGCCGCCGCCGCCACCACCCGGCCCGCCGCTGGGGCCCGGGCCCGCAGTGCTGGGGACGACGGTAGTGTTGCTCATGGCGCTGCTCGCTCCTGCTTTAACACATCAAACACACAACAAACAGTGAGAGGGAGGGGAAAGAGGAACCGTTTGCCGGAGAGGAGACAGGAGGGTGTCCACTGTTACAGCCGCTGCTGCTGCCTCCGCCGCCGTTTCTCCGCCCCACCGCTCGCCGGGGGGGAGGGAACAGAGCGCGCGAGTTCGAGCCCACGAGAAAACAAACGGCCTCGCCTCCAACCACCTCAATTGCGGGCCCAACTTCCCCACAATGCCTTGCGGCGCACGGGCGCGTCACCGTCGGCTCCGCCCCGCGCAGGCGCAGGCCAGCCTCGCTCGCAGCCAGGAGGTCGCAAGAGGCTCCGTGGTCTACTGAAATACGTCATCTTTTCGTTCCGCCCCCCCTTATTTTTTTAAAAAGTGGA